TGCAGCAGCAGCAACAGCAGCAGCAGCAGTTGTTGCAGCAGCAGCAACAGCAGCAGCAGCAGTTACTGCAGCAGCAGCAACAGCAGCAGCAGCAGTTATTGCAGCAGCAGCAACAGCAGCAGCAGCAGTTATTGCAGCAGCAGCAACAGCTACTGCAGCAGCTGCTACCGTTGCCAGTGCGCTAGCTGCTGCCCTAAGGCGTTTAGCTTAGGCCGTGACGAAAGGCGGGAGAGCAGCAACACAGGCGAACACCGCTGCTGCTGCTGCTGCTGCTGTTGTTGTTGTTGGTCCTTCTGCTGCCTTTGATACTTCAGTTGATGTTGCTGCTGCTGTAGTTGTTGTTGCTGCTGCTGCATTTGTAGCTGCTGCTGTTGCTGCTGCTGCTGCTGCTGCTGCAGCAAAGGGCCCGTGAGTCGGCGGCGGGTGTGTTGGTGTATTTGCGCAGTGTGTTTAAAAAGAAAGAAAAAAGAGCAAATATAATTATTTTTATTTTAGTTTTCATTGTAATTGATGCCTTATGATGCAGTGCTGCGGCTTTTCTTTTTGCTGCTGCTTGTAGTGTACATGCAGCTGTGGTGCTCAATATACACCGCAGCGGGAGCCGTCGATGCGGCCCTTTGAATTTTTCTTTGTTTTTTCTTTTTATTGCAGTTTTTATCTTATTTTTTACCTTTATTTTCTATAAATATATCCTAAAAACAATTTATTCACACTTTCAGAGGTCTTCTACTCACGGTTAGCTGCGCCGCACGCCGCTGTATCGACACTGCGCCCGAAACCCTAAACCCTAAACCCTAAACCCTAAACCTTAAACCCTAAACCCTAGTTTTGAATATGACTTTTTTGAAAAGTTCTTTGAGTTTTTTCTAATTTTCCGGGGGATAACAACGGCATTTAAAAGCTATTTTCACGCTTAGTGCCTTTGAAGCACTCACGCATATTAACATCTTATACACCCGAGTTGTCTGCAGGCTCTTCTTCTTCTTTACCTTCTCCTCTTGTAGGTTTCCTCAACGAGACAAGTAGCAAAACTCTGCTGCTGTGTTTCGTGCCGCAGCAGCACTGCAGCACCGCAATACCTGCTGTTGCTGCTGCCCCTGCAGCCAGCAGCAGCTACTGCAGCCGCAACAAGAAAACAAAAGCAGCAGCAGGAGTAGATTTTGAACAGGGTCTAAGTTTTGAGTTTGTTTACATCAGCTACATCTGCTGCTGCTGCTGCAGCTGCTGCTGCTGCAGCTGATGAAGCAATGGATTGGCAGCATGGGGGGCCCCTTGGGGGGCCCTCTTCGAGACAGCGGGAGCGCTCTGCTGCATGCAGGAAGCTAAAGCCTGATGATAATCTAATTACAAGTATATTATCAGGACAAAAGAGTTACTGGGAGGCATTAGATGAGTTAAGGGGCCTTGTTGGTGAACTAAGCAGAGAAAACAACTTGCTTCGAGATAAAACAGCAGCACAGCAGACGCTGTTGCAGCAGCGCAGCAACGCATTTCGACAAGAGAGGCGTCAGCATCAGCAGCAGCAGCAGCAACAGCAGCAAAAACTCTCTCATGCCCTGCATGCACTGAAAGCAGAGAATGAAGTTCTTCGTAAACAAGCTGCTGCTGCTGCAGCAGCAAAACAAGAAATGCATCAACTCACGCAGCAGCTTGAGAGACACCGGACAGAGATTGAACAAAAAACTAATTTACTGTCTCTAAAACAAAGAGAGTTAAACTCTGTACATGAAGAAGCACTCCGAAACAGTGCAGCAGCACAAGGGCTAGCTGCAAAAGCAGAGGGGCTGCAGCGTCAGCTAGCAGCAGCAGCAACAAAGAAGCATATGATGCTGACAAGAGTTAAACAAGAAATAAAAGAGTTAAAAGACTCTGCTGCTGCAAGTAAAGCTGCATTCGAGGAGGAGCTGCAGAGGGCAGAGGAAAGAGCAGCAGCAGCAGAAAAAGCAGCAGCAGCACAACTAGCAGCAAAAGAGAGACAGGTACGCTCGCTGCAGCAAGCAGCAGCAGCAGATGAATCGCAGGTCTCCTACAGCTTAAAGAGACAAGAAGAATTAGAGAGACAGATGGCGAAGCTGCGGGCGCAGCTGCAGCAGCAGCAGGAACGCGCAGCAGCAGATGCTACCAGCAGCAGCAGCAAAATACAAGATCTAGAAGCACAGCTTGAAGCAGCAAACAAACTCAAAGACAGAGCTGCAACAGAAATAAACTGTCTCCGCAGCAGCGCCACCATAATGAAGAGACAATTAAGCAAAGCTGAAGATAAAATTAGGGCCTTCGAAGCAGAACAGCAAAAAATTCATGTACGTACACCTCAACGCACTGCCTGCTGCTGCTGCTGCTGCTGCTGCTGCAGCAGCAGTTGCTGCTGCTGCTGCTGCTTTTTTGCTGTTGCTGCTGTTGCGGATTTGCTGCTGTTGCTGTTGGGGATTTGCTCCTGCTGCCGCTGCTGCTGGTGTTTTGCTGCTGTGTTGTTGCGGTTTTGCTGCTGCTGGCGCTGCTCTCCTGCTGCTGCTGACGCGGGTACACCCTTCCTGCTGCTGCTGCTGCTGCTGCTGCTTCTAGTGTTTCTGATCTGCTGCTTCTGCTGTTGCTACTTTATATTTAATGCTGCTACGAGTCCGGTGCTGCTGCCTAGTGTGCTGCTGCTGCTGCTGCTGCTGCTGCTGCTGCTGACACCGCAAAATGGGGGACAGTGCTTCTGCTGCCTCTTGCTGAGGCGCCTGTTGTTGTTGTTGCTGCTGCTGCTGCTACAATTGCGGCTGTTGCTGCTGCTGCTGCTGCTTGTTGCAGCTGGCTCTCTCTCTTTGCTGTCTGTCTCTTTCTCTGTTTGCTGATAGGGGTTTTTATTTGCCTCTGTCTTAATTAATATATATATTCTCTATTAATTAGATCATTAATTATATATAATTATATTCTTATTAACTGGTTATTCTAATGTTTAGGTTTGTGTCTGTCTCCTTTTGTCTGTCTCTTTTTTACTGGATTGTCTCCTTTGTTTGTTTGTTTATATTATTTATTTTTCTTTTTGCTGCTGTGCTGCTGCTGCAGATTCAGGTAAAGGAGGCAGAGAGAGCAGCAGCAGCAGCAGCAGCACGTGAGGCGGATACAGCAGCCGAACGGAAGCAGCTGCAGCAGGAGCTGGCAGCAGTTCGTGATGCAGCAGCAGCAGCAGCAGCAGCAGAGCGGCAGCAGCGAGAAGAATTAAAGAAAGCTTTAGAGGAAGATGCAGCAGCAGCAGAGCGGCAGCTAGCGACAACAGCAGCAGAATTGCGTGCAGAGCGCAGCAAAGCAGCGCAGCTACAGCAGCAGCAACAGCAGCAACAGCAGCAGCTGCAGCAACTCAAAGAAGCAGACGCTAAGCTGCAGCAATTGTCTGTCCCCTTCTCTCGCATCAGAGCTGCTTTTGCTGCTGTTGCAGGAGACGTACAACAGGAAGACAGCCAGCTAGCTGCAGCAGTTTGTAAGGCCCTCCGAGACTTCTGTCAAGCTAAACAAGAGCTTCAGGTGAGGGGCCCTAGCTAGCTATGGCTAGCTATGGCTAGCTAGCTAGCTACCCAGTAGCTGCCCTCATAGACCCCCGTACAGATCAAGGCCAAGCTAAACGTGCAGCTAGCTACCCATAGAAATAGCTAGCTACCCATAGAAATAGCTAGCTACCCATAGCAATAGCTAGCTATCCATAGAAATAGCTAGCTAGCCGTTGAAGGAGACAGCTAACTAGAAGGGCCTCTAGCCTGCTTTGTCAGGAAGGTAGCTGGCGAGCAGGTAGCTAGCCGAGAAGCTGCTGCTGCTGCTGCTGCTGCTGCTACAAGTGGTGGATTTGCTGCTGCTGCTGTTGCTGTTGCAGTGTTGTGAATGTGCGTAGTGTGTGCTGCATTGGCGGTGCTGTTAACCCTTTTTTACGCCTTCTGCTGCTGCTGCTGCTGCTGCTGCTGCTGCTGCTGCTGTTGCTGTGTTGCAGACCCAGGAGGCAGCAGTGCGTTCGCTGCAGCAGCAGGTGGAGGATCTGCAGCAGAAGGTAGAAGCAGCAGCAGCAACAGCAGCAGAGCTTGAAAAGACGAAGAAGGAGCTACAAACAATTAAAGAAGAAGGGCTCAAGACAACAGCAGAGCTGCGGCGTCTAGGAGACCAGCATGCTGCTTTGCTGCTGGAGAAGGAGAGAGAGGAGAAGCAGCACAGCAGCAAGCTGCAGCAGCTGCAGCAGCAAAAAGAAGATAGCGAGCAGCAGCTTAAAAACGCAGCAGCAGCAGCAGCTGCTGCTGCTGCAGAGAGGCAGCAGCAGCTGCAGCAGCAACTCGAAAATGCAAACAAAAAGACATTGCAGCTGCAGCAGCAAAAGCATGCAACAGAGCAGGCGCTGCAAGAGGCGCATAGGCAAGCGGAGAGTGCAGCAGCAGCAGCAGCACAAGAAGCATCTGCTGCTTCTGCTGCGCTGCAGCAGAGGGATGCAACCATAGACGACCTGAAGCAGCAGCTGCAGCAGAGACAGCAAGAACTCGCTGCAGCACAAAGTCAAATGCAAACGGAGACAGAAGCAGCAGCAGAAAGAGACAAGAAGCTACGCAAGGAGCAGCAGCAGCTGCAGGAGCAGCTGCAGCAGCTGACAGCAGCAAAGGAAGCTGCAGCTTCCAAGATAACACGACTGCAGCAGGAGCTAGAGGAGCAGCAGCAGCAGCAGCAGCAGCAAAAACAAAAACTAGAGACGCAGATAAAAGAGGGGCAGCAGCAAATCGAGGAAATAGAACAGCGCTTCAAGCAGCAGCAGCAGAAGCAGCAGCAGCAACAGCAGCAGCAGCATGAAGAGCACGAAAGGAAGGAGAAGCAAAATCAGCAGCAGCAGCAGCAACTGCAGCAGCAGATTGAGGATCTGCAGCAGCAAATTAAGAAGCAGCAGCAACAGCAGCATAGGGAGGCAGATGACTATAAGCAGCAGTTGCAGCAACTGCAGCAGCAACTTGAAAACGCGAAGAAGAGCGCAGCAGATGAGCAGCACCAGCACGAACAGCAACAGAAGCAGCAGCAGCAAAAGCAGCAGCAGCAGCAGCAAGAACAGCAGCAAAAAGAAGAAGAGCAGAGGAAGGCTCTTGAAGAAGCTCGTAAGGAGGCTTCCCAGAAGCAGGAAGAGCTGCAGTCTCTTCAGCAGCAGCTGCAGCAGCTGCAGCAGCAGCAGCAACAGCAGCAAAAAGAAATAGAGACAAAAACCAATATGATAGAAAATGCTAAACAGAAATATGCAGACTTAGCAACAAAGCACAATGAACTGGTTAAGAAGTTTAATGCTGCTGTTGCGTTAGAGAAGGAGCAGCGCAGCAAGAGCGAAGAAGCAGCAGCAGCAGCTGCTGCTGCTGCTGCCATTGCTGATGAGAAGCAGCAAGAGACAGAAAAAGCGCAGCAGCAAATAGAGGCACTCAAGAAGCAGCTTGAAGAAGCAAAAGAAGCAACAAAGAAGGCAGAAGAAAGCCGGAAGGAATCAGAAAATAAAGCTGCTGCTGCTGCTGCTGCTGCAGCAAAGGCTGCTGCTGCACCTCCACCCAAAGCTGCAGCAAAGGCAAAGGCTGCAGCACCAAAAGCGAAGCAACCCGCTGCTGCTCCCCCTGCAGATAACAGTGAGTCATGCATTCTGCTGCTGCTGCTGTTGTTGTGCTGCTGTTGCTGCTGTGCTGCTGCTTCTGGTGTTGCTGTTGCTGTTGCGTTGCTGGTGCTGGTGTTGCTGTTGCTACCGTGCTGCTGCTGCTGCTGCTAATGTAGTTGCTGTGCTGGTGCTGCTGGTGCTATACCTGCAGCTGTTGCTGTTGCTGTTGCTGCTCCTGCTGTTGCTCATTTCTGTGTGGAGTTGCTGCTGCGTTTGTGTGGGTGAAGCAGCAGCAGCAGCGGCAGCAGCACCAGCAGCAGCAGCAGCAGCACCAGCGGCAGAAGCAGCAAAGCCGCAGCAAGCAGCGGAGAGTACCGGCGGCTTCCTTTCATGGTTCGGAGTGGGGGGAGAGACAGCAGCAGCAGACTCAGCAGCAACAGAAGAAGCAGCAGCAGCAGCAGCAGCACCAGCTGAGCAGCCTGCTGCAGAGGCTGCCAGCAGTGGCTGGAGTCTCTGGTAGTAGACCCTAAACCCCAAACCCTAAACCCTAAACCCTAAACCCTAGACTTTAAATTGAAGGCTACAAACCTCTTTGTTTCTGTATTGCAGCAAGGATATGTTTAAATAGAACAGAGACAGCAAAGAGAGACACAACAAACAAACAAAGACAGAGCAAACAAACAAAGAGAGAAAAAAACTAAAAAGAGAGACAACTAATGTAATAAATGAAGAGACACGAAAAAGGCGTTGGGTGTCTCCTCTCCCTCATGCAGATAGACAACAGATATTAAGTGTCTCCTCTTAATAATAAGTGTCTCCTCTTAATAACTATCAAGTGTCTCCTCTTAATAATAAGTGTCTCCTCTTAATAATAAGTGTCTCCTCTTAATAATAAGT